AGTGGAAATGGCACGAACGTGTGATATGCCAGACTGGGGAGATCAACAGAACACCCAAGACAAACACCCCCAAGCAACCCATGTGAAACGCAGAACCAGCATACAACACCATGAACAACCCTTGGGTGGTGCACAGGCAGTGTCTGTAATAGTACCATGCGTCAGCCCAAGGGAGTGTATGTCCAGCCGTGCGTCAATCTAACGCCCTGCCGGTGTCCATGCGCAAGGTTGCAGTTGAGTGTTGAACCCGCAACCTCATACCACAATGCGCATTTCCAACCGGTGCTTGAACCACTGAGCCACATCAACTGGACTGCACTTCAGGCACCTTACCTGGCCAGAAAGCTGGGTTGTATTCATTGCCCAAACTGCAATTCGAAACTGTATCTTGGCCCATAGTGCAATTACAACTCATTTTTCAATGATTTTTGTGACTCCCCCGTAGTTTCCCCAATAATAAAAGAACAACTTTTTCTTTTGTTTCTTTTTCAACCAAAACTGTGTGGGATGGGGGAAAAAAATAAAAATAAAAATAAAAAAATTGCTGGAGGGAGCTTGAGGTGCTGATAAAGGCAGACACCTCTTGCTGCTCCGGTTAGGCTCCATCTATTGGTCGGGAGCTGCTCCTGCTAGAAATCGGGTCCAGCGTCCCATTTACAGATCTGCAGAAGTCATTCATAGTGTACAATTGTGTTGTGTTAAAGGGAGTGCCTCTTCAGCCTGCAATGGACCGCCAGCACTACTCCTGCCAATGCTCCCGTCTTCACCCGAATATAACGCCCGGTCACTATCGCTGTATTCCGGGCATTTTTCAGTCCAGATGCAGCGATAATGACCTCAGGCCGTTCTATTCGGGGGTGAAGACCTTAGCCACTCTCCCCTTGGCAGATGCTTGGATCTTTTTTCCTTAACCCCCTTCCTATTTAGTAACATTCCACACCCAGATTTTTTTTTTTTTTAATTATTATTATTATTATTATTTTTAAACACACAGCCCGGATGGAGCTGGGACTTGACTCTCAATCCTTCCTACCCAACCCCTTGGAGCCCTAAAGCCCTTGAGTCCTCAACCCTTTTCCTGAGGGCAAGCCATTGGAACCAATCACTCCCCCCCAAAACACTGCACCTCCATTGTGGCTAAAGATGGGGGTGGGAAAAGCTTCGGGAAAGGGGCCGAAGCGGAATGGAGGGATCTAAGCTGGTACAGCCGTGGAACCGGATGCGATAATCCCTTTCTCCTTCCCCCAGATCTTCCAAATCCCCCCTTCCTCCTCCCTTCCACTCCAATCCAGCCCCCTTTTGCTTCCCCCCAGCCAGTCTTTATGACATAAAAGGCTTCACTTCTCCTCTTCGCCTGCCTTCGGGCGGAGCCAGACCGGAATGTGAACTGATTGTCTCCCCTCCCCCCCCCCCCCCCTCCCTCAATGGTTCCGATCTATTTGTGGGGCTTACAATGTGATGAAAACCAGGTCCAGCGTCCCCTGAAGCAAAATGCACATCCATGATCGAGTGCATACTCAAAGTCTGGTAGCACTTTCCTAAATGTATGTGACTGCAATTACAGTCACACCTCAATGCACCTGACAGTAATCAAGTCCGGAGCTAACCGTCTGGCCATAGGATTGGAAGGCAATCCTCCTGGGGCCACGGCAGCCCCCGCAGCCGTCTACCTTCACGGAGAACTTCTTCTCAATACGAAGAAAGGCAGTGTTTTGGGGTCTGTGTACATGCACTTGAGGGTGTCAGAGTACATGCACTTGAGGGTGTCAGAGTCGACGGAGCAGACGTCTCAGGCGATCCGCCAATTCATTCAAACTGAAATACAAGCCAGATGGGCACAAACTCACTGAAAGACAAAACTGCAATTTTTTTTCACATATTAAAAGAAGGACGTCATCAGAGAAGGACTTCAACAGTTCTCAGTGGACTGGCTGGGGGGTGGAAACGGGGGGGTGGATGGCACATGAGGACTGGCCAGGAGGGGAAGGCAGGGGCGAGGGGAGAGAGGAGGGGGGGGGAGGGAGGGTACCTTAGAAGAGATTATTCGCTCATCTTTGAGAATTTGCTGCAGGTTGGCCCAGGGCGGCCGATGCGCCCCCATAAGGACTTCCCGGATCTATTTCCACCTTCAGAGACAGCAATGGTGGAGGCTCCAATGCCACCTATGATGGTATTGACAGTGAGGGATAGAGAGAGGGAGACAGTTAGAAGAAGACTCGGGATTCATCTGACGGCCTGAAACACTGGCAGGCTGAAGAGGTGATCTAGACTCTACAGGCCATTAGTCCTTGGCCAGGCCAGTGTCAACCTCTGATTCATTGAATTTGCTCAATTCACAATCATCTGCACAAAGGGATGCTGGACCTGTTTTCCAGCAGGTGATGCTCCCCACCAATTAGACACGGGCCTCCGCTGGCATGCTGGTAAAAAAAAAAAAAAAAAAAAAAAAAAAAAAAAGGCATGCTGGACCTTAGAAGGGGGTATTGAAACATCATAGACCGGGGTAGTGTCATAGTGAAACATAATTAGACACAAAAGCGAGAGGGAAGCCAAAATTGAGAAGCCTAGATTCCTTTTCATCCTTCCTTAATGTATTTCTGACTTTTAACATTGTCATTAAAAATAATTAGATTTCTTGCCTTTGGTCGACCACACAAAATCACCTACGCGGAATCCTGCGCACGCGGTCAAGGTCAAATAACAGTGGTAATGGAAGTAAATTAAAGGTAAAAATTGCTCCGTAGAGGTAGCTCCAAAAATAAAATAAATTAATTATACGATATTTAGCATAAGAATAGGCCTAGTACACATGTTTGCGGAAACGGAAAACACGGGTCAGCCTGGGCGCCCCGTCTTCCCGTCGCTCATCAGATACAAGTAATGTCAAAAAGGTTTAGTGTAGATAGATGCTGACCGATAACCTCCTCATTTCGGGAGGCCAATTGGATTTGGCCGCCCGACAGTAGCCCGGACCTCCTCTCGACGTCCCTGTCGAGATTACATAGTTCTCACTAGAGAACCGGTATCAATCTAAGACTGATGTGTCGAGCATTGCGTTTGGTCCTATGTCATGACCTCTTTCCAGACTCACGTCTATTTATCTGCGGGCTCAGAGGATGTTTGGTTTTAGTTCTATATTCGGTTTGTCTGGTACATATGTGCGCGCGCGCTTCTTGCGCCGGTTTTGTCTGTGTGATGAAGGGAATGGTCTAGAGTCTCGTTTGACTCGGACTCCCCGTTGTCTGTCCCTGGTAAGCACGAATAACCATCTCTTTTTCTTTCCTAGTACCAACCCTTTGACTTTCTTAATCGTCGGTCTCTTTCTCTTCCTTGAACTCTCTCACCCACTTCCGACACACACACACAGNAGAGAGAGAGAGAGAGAGAGAGAGAGAGAGAGAGAGAGAGAGAGAGAGAGAGAGAGAGAGAGAGAGAGAGAGAGAGAGAGACGTCATGATTCACCCTCCCGCCCCACCTCCGGCCGCGGGTTAGTCTGCCGCCTGCCAGGGTTAAAAAAAAAAGATCAATCAATCAATAGATCAGCTGTATTGATTGATGGATTGATTGATTGATTGATTGATTGATTGATTGATTGATTGATTGATTGGAGAGAGAGAGAGAGAGAGAGAGAGAGAGAGAGAGAGAGAGAGAGAGAGAGAGAGAGAGAGAGAGAGAGAGAGAGAGAGTCTGCTCCTCCCACCCACCCCACCCTTCTCTGTGAAATGAATGGAAGGTGTAGAATACCACTACTTTTGGCTGCAGCTGCACCTACCGCGGCACAAGTGAAATACCACTACTTTTGGCTGCTGCTGCACCTACCGCAGCACATCCAGAAGCTGCTCCTGCGGCTGAAGCAGCACCTGCAGCGATTGCAGCTGCACCTTCAGCCGGGGGAAGTGCTGCAGTTGCAGCAGCTGCTGCAAGTGGAGAAGCACACCCCTTTCGTCTTTTTGTTTGTGCAGGCGTTGCCCGCGCCACCCGCACCATGGGCGCTAACGGCGCTAAGCTAGTAACTTTTTTTTTTTTTTTTTAATTACAAACGGGGCCCAGTGCCCAAGGCTGATATAACCAATAAGAAGATTGAGGCCGGGGTCCTCACAGTCTGCCCGTAGAACTATTGATAGGTGCCTCTGACTGACAGCTCTAGTTGAACTGTAGAAATGTTTCCAGAGTCTAGCAGCCAGGCTCCATGACCTGTTGGTATGCCCCTGGATCGTTCAATTGCAGCCCGGAGTTCGAGTCCAGCTCAGCCAGGTGGGACTCCAGCTCAGACAGGTGAACACTGAACAGAATGAAGCTCAGCCAGGTGAACACTGAACAGAATGAAAAATAAGGGTCAGATCCCACTTGCAAGGGCAATTGGAATAACTGTCTGAATCCTGACGTGTTCCGCACAGAGATGCAGAAAAGCAGATCCATCACAGTTTTCTGCACCTCGCCACAAACATGTCAGATTCAGACACTCATTCCAATCCTCTTTGCCAGTGGGATCTGGCCCTAACTGTTTTTTTTTTTTGGGGGGGGGAGATCTGGCCCTAACTCTGAATCACCTGGGGCCCTATAAGGGCACATTTGATCCAAAAAAAAAAAAGGAATCACCTGGGGCCGGCGGCTGTCGCCGTAACTGGGATCTTGCCACTTCGACGAAAATCGCTCGTCTCCGCTGACATCAGGCCTCGATGGAAACTTCCACATCACAAGACCGCCCACCGTACCCTACGCACATTCGCTGGGAGTCCCCAAAGAATTTGGACCATTTCTGGATTTATCCGTTTTATCCTTGCGCAGGCGCCATCCTAATCTTCTCTGTATCGTTCCGAAAGACTTTCTCCTTTCTTTCTTGGTTTTTGATCTTTTTTCTGTTTTTGGCCCTCTTTCCTGTTTTCTTTCTTCTCCTTTCTTTCTTGGTTTTTGATCTTTTTTCTGTTTTTGGCCCTCTTTGCTGTTTTCCCCTCGTAATCAGGTTTTCCTTCAGATGATCGTTTCCGGAGATAGATCGCAGAAGTCTCTTGTCCGCTTTGTGAATGGTAGTAATGTTCGATGGCAATGGAGAGGATCCGATCGCTGCAGGCGAAAGGCTGCGCTCTGAAGGCCGCGGTGGGGGCTTTGCCGCTCGGCATCGTGGGGGTACATGAGCAATGGCGACTGCAAAGGACAATCAAGAGGGAGTTATGCTTCCTAGAACAGATGGAGCGAGGAAGTCTGGAGATAACCGACGCACGGCTACGCAGCTCTAATCTCGACCACGTGGCTGCCATCCTGGCAATCCTGAAACATCCAGAGATCAGCATGGTGTCGGGGGTCCTCCAAAGCATCCCGATCCCTGTCCCAATCCGTCCAGATCAGCATGACACGATGGGAAAGAAGGCAAGAAGAGAGAAAGAAGAAAATAAAAGAGGAGCAGCTGATGGAGAGGAAGGAGAAAAAGGTGGTGGTTCCGCAATCGTCGCGGAGTGCGCCTCGGAGGCGATGGCGATTGACGATAAGGTTCCCGCCAATTTACCCCTATCTTTATCCAAATCCAAGGATAAGGATAAGCCTCAGCGTGACGACGTGTCAAAGAGATCGGCGTCAACCGCTGTCCACGTGGACGTTATCTGCTTGATGAATGGGAAGGTGTGCTGGATCTGCGTATCTAGTTTGAATCCCAGACACGCCACGTGGACCGATGACATCGACTGGAAGGATGACATGTCAGGAGGACGACGCAAGGGCGCGGGCATCTTGAGACGCGCTGCGTTGCTTCGTAAAGCGGCTGACGTGGCACCCATTTTATCCAAACCGGATCGCATAGTTCTGTGCTCGGTAGGTCCGGTGCCAGATTGCATCGACCGAGGTCTAAGGGAGCAGCTGGCGGCGAAGAGCGGTGAGCTCAGCGCGACGGGGGATCCGTTACGTGGAGAAGATGTCCATGGGTATGGAGATTGCACCGACAACGCTAGAGCATACGGAGGAGGATATGAGGTTGGCAGAGAGGAAGGCGGCGTTCGTGGAGAAGAAGAACAAGAGCAAGGCGGAGGCACAGACAGGCCGATGGTACACCAGGTCGAGAGTGAGCTGGAGGGAAGTGACGATCAATCAAATGCTCAAATAATCGAAGAAGAAGAATGGGAGGAGGAGGAGGAGGAGGAGGAGGAGGAAGAAGAGGAAGATTGGCTTATTCTTAGCTTCAATCAAGGCCGTGATTCAAGGGCTGGAAGTGAAGAAAGCGGGGGGAAAGGAGAGAATGAGAAAAAAACGGTAGGGCAAAGATGCAGCCGCCTTACGTGTTACGTCATCGATATCGATGGAAGCAAGAGTGAAAGAGAGGAAGAAGACGAGGAAAACAAGCTCCAGGGAGCGTCCACGTGGCCAATCAGGCAGGGGAGCAATCCACACAGCCAAGCGGAGGAGCAGGAATCACGAAGCGCCACTGATGAAGATGGGATCTTGGTGGAGAAGGGAGGGAAGAGCGACGAGGAATGGGAGGAGGAAGAAGAAGAGGGAGCGGGGAAAGAGGCGGAAGAGGAGAAGGAGGAGGAGGAGGAGGAGGAGGAGGAGGAGAAGGAGGAGATGGATACAGAGCTCCAACTGGCAGCAAATGCCAGGGATAAGGACTCGATCTCCATGATGACTGGTCATAGAGAGAGAGGAGGATTGGGGGCGAAGCAGTTGATGATCAATCTCGACACCACTGCCATGGTAGCGCTCGTTTCTGACGTAACAAACGGAGCTGCCTTGTCTCTGTCCCGGTTGACGGAACAGGCGTTGCGATCCCGATTTGCCACCACGTGGCAGTTCATGAGAGAGCAGATTAGCTCTGAGATGGAGAACCCCCTCCTTCCCGAGATGAATGCGATCCTCGTCGGTCGAGTGCCTGTCGCTACCAACTTCGCTGTCAATGAGTTTCACTCTATTGTGGAAATGATTGCCGGTCCCAAAGAGAAGCAACGTGCCAAGGACCTTCTTGAAAGGATCAGGGTAGTGCAAGATTGCCCATCGCAGCGAGTGCTCTCTCTCCCCAAGACGGGCAAGATCAAGCAGAGACATATGGTCATCTTCGGTACCAGCGATTCCCTCGGCATACCCACTCTCTCGGCGAACATGTCTTTCGCTCGTGCTGCGCGCCAACAGGGGGCCATACTTCATGTCATCCGTCATCGACCAAGAGCTCTCACTGGAGATTGAATGAACAACAATGTGCCCCCCTTTTCCTCCCCCTCTTACCCTTCCCCCCTTCTCCTCCTCCCCCCTGTCACTCCCTTCCTCTTTGTGTCCATTGGCTGTCTTTGTTGTCGGATTATGATCAGTAGTACCTTGTACATTTGTTACCTCTCTCTCTCTCTCTCTCTCTCTCTCTCTCTCTCTCTCTCTCTCTCTCTATCTATCTATCTATCTATCTGTGTGGTTCTGTTTTGGTTTCTTTTTCTTTCTGTGGTTTGCCTGCCCCGCCCGTGCGTCGTTTCTGCCTTTCCGTTTTTAGACTATGGTTTGAAATTGGACTGTTTTGCATTGTGCTTTCGCCTCTCTTCATCGTCTCTCCTCTCCCGCATTCCTTCGGTGTTTCTCTTCTGTCGTTCGGTTCAGATCATGATCAATAGTGCCGTTGTGTTGTTGTCGCTACCTCCTTCGTCTCCCTTCTCTCCTTCTCGCTTTCCTCCTTGTCCTTAACTTTCCTTTCACCCTCTGTGCCTCTTCTCTGATGTCTTTCAAAAGTCGTTTCGTGTGCATCACAGTCGCACTTTTGCTCTCTTATACCTACTGTTCTCTTTCTCTCCCTCTCTCTCTCTCACACACACACAACACACACACACACACACACACACACACACACACACACACACACACACACACACACACACACACACACACACATTTTGCATTTGCTTTAATACAACTCCAAGAAAAGAAAGGGTGACTGTGGGCCACTTTCTCATCGAACGTTTACCGACTGGTGTGTGTCTGTGTGTGGATGTGTGTGGATGTGTTTGTGTGTGTGTGTGTGTGTGTGTGTGTGTGTGTGTGTGTGTGTGTGTTCGCTATACACAACTCCACAAAAAGAACCATGACTGTGCCAGACTGTTTCGTCGGACTTTCGCCGACTAATCAGGAGGCTGAAACCCGATAGTCTGCCCAGGATGCATTTGACTGAATGATAAGGACTCACCATGTCGCCCAAAGTTAGCCATACCCCTGAGAAAAGTGATTGACTTTACACACACCAACCCCTGCAACCCTAGCAGACTGTCGGTCCAAACCCCTGACAAGAAGGGCAGTACGTCGGACTTTCACCGATTCATCAGGAGGTTGAACCCCGACAAACAGTCTGCCCAGGATGCATTTGACTGATGGATGAGAACTCACCACATCGCCCAGAGTTAGCCATACCCATCACTGAGAGAGAAAAGTGGTCCCCACTTTACTCACACCAACCCTGCAACCCTAGCAGCAGACTGTTGGTCCAACCCCCTGATAACAAGGGCAGTAACTCTCTCTCTCTCTCTCTCTCTCTCTCTCTCTCTCTCTCTCTCTCTGTGTGTGTGTGTGTGTGTGTGTGTGTGTGTTGTCTTTTTTATTTTATTTTTTATGTTCGCCATAGACAACGCTACAGAAAAGGCATGCCTTCAAAAAAAAAAAAAAAAA